ATATCCGTAAGAATTTACCTATAACGCTTAGTTTATAAAAAGAGTGGGGCAGTCTTTTTAAATTTTGGGCAGATTTATAATTTTATCCAAAACATTTTTCAAAATCAACTGTTGGTCGATCGAACACCATTTTGAAATATAAAGTCAATTCAGCTCAACTTGACTATGAAAATATGAGCATAATGTCACTTTAACCAATGGTCAACAACTTTGCACATGCAATCAACTTGTTCTCATAGAACAAAACACAATAAGAGAGAAACAATTCTCTAAAGTTAAGTAAAATAATTAGTCAAATATATAACAACTATATGACGACTTATGTATATATTTGTTTGCTACAAGATTAAATTGTATTAAAATTATTGACTTTAAAGGCATCGTGGTGTGAGAACAGGATAACAAAAATGGTTTTATAAAATCTAACTTTATTTATGTGTGTTTGTAACGACCATTCAATGCAATTAAATTTTGTTAAATAACATATACTAAATGTCATCGACGAAGAATTTGGAATGCTTACAAATCTCATGTAATGCAATGTTATAAAACATTGTAGATTTTCATAAAGTTATTTTTATCAACAAAGAATGTGGAATGCTCAAATATGTTATGTTATGAAAATACAACGTTATTAAATAATGTAAGCTTCAATATAGTTATTTTTATTAATCGCTTAAACTAGATTGGTCTTCAATGGGCATATTTTATTATAAGTATTTCACATTTTGATAAAAATAGAAAAGTATCATTTGAATGTTTTGATAAATAATATATTACAATAATGATATGAATAATAATGTTGATAAAAATCTTCTTGATTTAATTCTTATAGTGTGTAATTTATATAGATTAGTCTGACCTGTTAGTCAATAAGTTTTGTAACCTCATACCTGATAATAGTTAATATATCATGATAAGTAAATCTAATAAACACTAACTTTTGTGTGAGAGGTCAAAATTAACTGACGTTTCATTGGCTAACAAATAAATAACATCTCATTTTTTCATGTTTGGCGGGATTTGTAAAAGATAATCACAGCTGACTTTGAGTTTTTATATTTTATATAAAGAATTTTTTCCATAACTTCATAAGTTTTATTTACATTTATCTAAGTATCAAGTTAATAACAATTAATTGGCTTTTGTTTCCTTGTGCTTGCTTATGTTTGCTATTCTATTTTGCTTTTATTATATTGCTTATTAAAAATGCCTTTTGTGTATTTGTAGGACACCCTTTTTTAATACAACAATTTAATTGAAGCGAACCTACAAACATTAAAAAATAGATCTTGTGACAACCTCAGAATTAATTATTTGTATTTGAAACAACCAACTGTCACATAATATAAACATTTATATGATGAATAATTATAGTTTGTTATAGAACATTTTTTATCTGCTTTATAAATATATGTAATTTCGGATCATGTATCTCACACTTGCCTTTAACCTCCATATATAACTCATTAATAGCCTTTTGTTTTGTATGATACCTTATACTATAAATGTAAATAAAGGTATATTTTTTATTTTAATTTATATACCGTATAAGTACTTTTTTCTGCGGGAACTTTATTTCTGCTATTTTTGCGGTTATTAAGGACACCGCAGATTTAAAAACCGCAGAAAATTAAGCCTTTCACTATGTCATTGTCGGAATGTGTCAACTACCGGTATTGTATAATTACGTTTCATTTTATGTTTTATTTTTGTTTTTTCTTCGTTATTTTTGTTGTTGTTTTTTGTGGGTTTTTTTGTGTTTGTTTTGTTTTTTGCTAGTCTAAAATCTATTACCAAGTTTTTTGCTCATGTAAAAGTTTTCGTATCGATTTATGTAGAATAATACAGACTTAGTTCCAAACAATATGAGTGATGGAGCAAAAGTAATATGATCTATGTGAATAACATTTAAATACATGTACAATATATATAATAGCCTTCCTCCGGAATTAAGAATATTTGGGTTATTTCCAAATAATCCGTAGGTATAAACAAATATTTACAGTTACAGCTTTGAAGGCTAAAATATCTATTGTGATAGGTATGTAAATCTGTAACGATAAAAATGTGTTTGTACCTACGAATTAGCTTGGATCAAACAACCTATGCCGAGTTCTGGATAACATCTTTTCTTTCAGTATTCACATGTACTTATCTAAAGATTTTGACATTACAAACCACAGAAAGCAGTTTATTTCATATAATGATTTTTGCACAATTGATATTCCTCATATAGAGTTTTTATATAAGTATAGAATAGGTAAATGAGTACCTTTGTTTTATCAACTTTAATGTAAATGTTTGTCTCGTTTATCTGGTCAATGACAAGGAACGACTCATGTAATAGGCGCAGATAATCGGCAAGTTGTTTGGATACAGTTGTAACGATATTAACAGACAAACATCTCTTGTCATCAAGAAGTTCTTGTATACTGCGCATCGTCCCAACTGGTACAAGTTCACGTTTCATCCTCACGGAGCTACTAAATTCCTGGTATTCTAGAATAGCGGTGCCAATTTCTGAATCAAAAGCATGTAATATTACACTATACGTCCGCTAACTCAATTGGTTGAGCATTGTATAAGTAATCCAAGGAATGCTGGTTCGATCATCGTACATGTTGTCATAACAAGTGATTAAGACATCATGTGGGATTAAGAGCCATTGACTTGCGGAGAAACTAGTAATAACAAGCAATTATCATAGTATTGCAAGCAATCCATAAGTCACCTACTGGTTAGAACCCCATCAACATTCTGAAGGGCCATTGGCCATTCACTAATGTTTCAATTTTTCTCTATATTAAGTAAATCTGTTGGAAAAGTTCTTTAAAAGTGATCACATGAAACAGTTTCTATGCACAGAGAGACAGACGGACTGAAGGACACTCTAAAGTTAATATTTGAAACATCCCTGTTACCAAAATATAACATTTTTAAAAGCAAAATTCTTAAAAAGGAGATAACTCTTGAATTAAAGATGCAATTTTATAAAAATATTCAGCTCTTTTTGACTAATCACAAATATTGTTATATTTGCCATGTTTTAAGCCTACTTGTTGCCAAGGCAACCAATATTTTTTCAAAATAGGAAGAACAGATTAGACAAGCATAATCTCAAGACTGCCATCTACCCATCAGCAACCAGAGTTTTCAACTTAGGAAGAAAAGAAAAAGACGTGCATAATCTCCAGACTGCCATCTACCCATATTTCAAGTTTCATAAACATATTTCCAGTTCTTTTTGCGTTATCACTGGATCCAGTTTATGTGTAAAATTTGCCATATTTTCAGCCTATTTGTTGCCATAGCAACCAGAATTTTCAACATAGGAAGAAAAGAAAAAGACGTGCATATTTTCCATACTGCCATCTACCCATATATCAAGTTTCATAAAAATATTTTCAGTACTTTTCAAGTTATCGCGGGTTCCAGTTTTGTGGACGGACGGACTGACGGACTGACAGACTGACGGACGGACGGACAGAGGGTAAACCTAACGCTCCCTCCGGTAAACCGGTAGGGGATTAACTAGTAAGTTACCACTGAAGCCTGTCACTTGGATCGACCACCTAGCTTTGACCTTAGTCATTCGATAAAATTGACGTAATAAATTGACGATAAACACAATAAACAAACAACAAACAAAGTCATTGATTTATGCCACAATCAAGAAATCGGAGTAATGTTATAAATCAATCGGAAATTCTGTACATAATACTTTCATTTTTGTATTGGATTTTATCGATTTTATCTTTACAAACACTGCAAACAGCATAAAATTAACAAAAGCACTAATAACGTGATAATACGATAAAAGTATTGGCATAATTATGTTGTATGTAAATCATCGTATTATATCAAACAGCGTGTCGTATTTATATGAAGTCTTATCGTATATGGTATTCACTTGTATTTATTGTTTCTAAAATATTAACTACTGTGAAATATTTAGTGACAAAGATAACTTATTATACAATGTAACATCTGCTCATACTCGTCATGAATTTATACAAAGATTTACTATAGTTGCTTTTTACTTAATCATAAAATGTTGTTAAAAATAGAATCACAAAATTGAAACTAATTTTAAGTACTTGCCTCTCTGGACCACCGTTCTACTTTGCTCATCAAGGCTTGGGTTAAAACTCTACAAGTAAAAGAGGAACATTTGATTTTGAAACGGATAGTTAACTAGCTACCTGCAAAAATATTAGACATTAACATCCCATGTCACAAAACAATGATGCGCGTAACATTCTCATAACTATTTAATTCAATGTATTAATCAAGGAGACTGGAGTGATTTAGTCAAAGTTATATCATTACCTTCTTCCCTATTATTGCTGTCACTGTATACAAAAACGGATTTAGGGCAGAGTTAATAGGTAATATAAAAACGGCTGACCATGCATAAACATCCCCTGGAATCGGAAATCCATTCAATGCCAAAATACCTGAAACGAGAATTTGTACATTATTGACACTGTTTTATTAAATTTGACCGTTTTCAAAAATATTTTAGATTAAGTCTTACAATTAGCAAATTCTTTGACAGAATAAAACCATATACATTCATTTTTAACTTGAACAATATAATAGATACAGATTTAAAGATATAGAAACAATTATTGTGTATTTCCTTGAACATCGCAACATCCTAGAGTGTAAAAGAAAGTTAGTAATTTTCATTTACATGGACTTAATATCATGCAGGTATAACATAGAAAGGTTATCAACCTCAGGTTTGCTCGAGACCTTACCCATCACTCCTATCGGAAACCAACATAGGAAGTCAGTCGTTGCGACGAGGATAAGATTCCTCGCAACTTTCAAATCACGTTTCCTAGATTTCTGTGTCTTCTGCATACTTGATGTTGCTCGTCGAAGTTCTGAAAATATGGAAATTTGTCCCGCAGCGACAAGAATAAAAGTGCAGAAATTCAAGCCAACGAAAATTGACACAGAATAAATCCAACCTGGGGGTTTATCTCTAGTTAGAGGCAATGCAATGCATACTCCTGTTTTAGCGTAGAATTTGTTTTGGAAGTGACTTGTGTAAAAAACTGGAATGATGGATAGGATTATGGAAATTAGCCAGCAAATTCCGCAGCAAATGTACGCCTTCATAGGACCAAACCTTACTGTTCCAAATGGAAACTTGATAACTAAAAGTCTGTCCAATGTTATCAAACAAAGAAAGAAAACGCTTGCTTCAGATGAAATTGTAGAAAGAACCCCAGCAGAAACACACCAGTTGCTGTTTCTCCATTGATCATCCATAAATATGTATCTAAAAAAACAGAATCATACAATGAACAATTAAGAAACAATTGGTCAGCTTTCTTGTAAATATAGTTTTTATCCTTATACATAGTCTTTGAAAGCAAATTTATTCCAAAAATGTTCGAATGAAAAAATAATCATATATACATAACGATAATATTGACACCAAAATATTAAAAAGATTATGAGCTGAAAGAGCGCCTGAGATTATGAGTATTTGTCTTGAAGTGGGGATGATGGTCACAAATAAGTATTCAAAGTTTCAAAGCAATACCTTATTGGGTATAGTAAATTCATGTGTGGTTCAAATAACTCTATTTGTTTTTTTTCTGCTTTAACTAAATTCAACACATGTATGGACGAATCTCAGCGTTCTAACGACCAGCTTCCCTAAATATACCTAAGAACTTGTACCAGAGGATGTTCATTTAAAGCTTGACATTATTCGAGATTGTCGTAAAAAGCTTACGTCTATTTAAGACCTTGTTCAGCAAAGTCGAACTATTTCATTAATATATGTAACTTTTTGTGATCGCTTTTTGTATAGTTTCACCAAAACTACCAAGTCTAGGTGTCATTAGTAGGTGTATTTTAACACTGATGGCCCTTTCAGCAAACTGGAATTACTTAATAAGCAATTTAGTTTAGGACTTCTTACAAATTATTTCTTCAAAGCTTCAATAAAATCTAACTATCGACTGTAGATGTAATTTAAAGTGATTTCTATGTCCTGGAACGTCGTTTAAAGATTTCCTTTTTCAGCTCTGGCCGTCATCTTGTATAGCGGATTAATACAATTTCTTAATTTAGTTAAGGATCATTCCTGTACGTGTTCATCACGTTTGGCTAAGCTACTTCTAGGAGAGCTACAAAGTCTCATGTTCCTATTTTATCACCCTCTTTAGCGGACGAAACGATCCGGACAACTTAAGCATAGGATTACTATATAGTTTCAGTACTTTTGGCCAAAATATATCATTTAAGACTTGTTTTAATTTGTGGCTATCTTTTTCAACATTGCTGAACGATTTTAGTAATCTTTGAAAAGAACTGACTACTTAATAGTCATTTGTGAAAGGTTTCATTACAATCTACCGGATCGTGTAGAAGTGTTTCTAGTTATAGATTAAATTAAGCAGAACGGAATCGTCTGACCATTTTATAGAAGACTACCTAAGGATAATTTCATGTATAGCTTCATTACTTTTGGCAATGTGGTTATTAAGAACATGTTTTAGTAAAATATTTATGACGAGCCACAGATAACGGACACAGGATTATTACAATAGTTCGCCTCTACTATTTTGTGCATCAGTAGAAACCATTACATTTGCAATGTTAAGTTATTTCTCTCTGATGAATCAAGGAACAGTTCAGATATAACCTTTGTTTATGTTACTAGACAAATAGAAAATTAGCATATGTTTATGTAGAGTGAATCAGTAATGAATCAGTACCTGTTTCTGTAAAGTGAATCAGCCACTGCTATCGTAATTAAGTATACACCCATCAGAAAATCGGCAAATGCAAGATTAGTTACAAATATTCCGTAACCTATTTTTAGCCTTTCACGATCATAGACAAGACGGTATATGATTGATGAAAGATTTCCGCACAATGAAGCTACCCCTACTATCCAAAGAACTGCTTGAAGGACAGAATTTCTCATCAGATCTTCACATGAAGAAAATTCATTCTTTAATGGCTTGCAATCTTCTTCAGAAACATAACAAGGGCGGATGCAACAGAATTTAAATGCAGGCGTTCGAAGCTCCCGAAGTGATGAAACGCCGTTAAACATAAATTTTCCGAATTTTATCACTTTATTGCCTTCAAAATTAATTTTATGCACTAAAGAATTGTTAAAGGCATAATCTTCAATTTCCTCAATTTTGTTGTACGAGATATCTATTGAGTCCAACTGTAAGCCAGAAAACGTTTGTGAGCTAATCTTTTTTAAGTTTGTGCCTGAAATCTTCAAACTTCTTATCGCTTTTAAACCTTTAAAAGCTGTCGGTGAAATCTCTGTCAGTTCGTTGTTTCCATCAAGATTCAGGTATGCTAGATTACGAAGCTTGCTAAATACTTTATCGGGTAACGACTTGATCCTATTGTTGCTTAGATCAAGTGATAATAGATTTTTCAAATCAAAAAAGGCCTTTTCATCAATGTCATAAATGTCACACGACGACATATTAAGTCGTAACATGTAAGGAAAACCTAAATTTTTTCTGAGTATTTTTTTTATCTTTGGATTTTTACTTATATCAGCACTCCTAGTTTGCATTGACATTGACAATGGTGGCGAAATTTCAGACATGGAAATGTTGGCCGCCTTACAATTGATAACGTCAGCAATGCAAGAACATTGACTAGGACACACAGAATCACAAAGCCGTTCATCATCACCATTTCTGCAATGTATTACATCATCACATACTTGCTCAAGTGGTAAACATTGCTTGCTAGAAGAACATCTGAACATTCCAGCACATGGTACGTATGAAGCCTCTGAAACGTAAGCAGATTAGGTATTACGTTTGGCTAAGTTGGTATATTAATAATACTGTTTAAGTATAATAAACGCTTGCATTAATAAGATCTTATAACAAATATTTCATTGTTTTTAATTTCGTTTATTTTTTGGATGACGGTTATATTTCCGGAATTCTAAAATTTACCCAAGCAGTCAGATAAACAACAAGGACATTAACCCTTTCAAAAATTTAAATGTCAAAATTTTGAAAGAAAAAAATCTGACACGGCTGTGAATGCATTTGTTTCATTAAATAAACTAATTTATTGAACGATTCATGATGTACATATTTTTAATGAAAATGTCATTCAACCAGCATTCTCTTACTACTGTAGATATCTCTCAATGTCAATATGTCTATTTTTTCCTCACCTTTACATATTTCTGGAAATCGTCTAAATCCAGTCGAAAATAGTGAACTCCATTTACTGATGTGAACATCTTTTACAAATTTGTATACGTTATGTTTATAAAGTGAAGAATTGAAATCTTTTATCACGCGATAAATTGAAAACGCTGGCTCTGAAAGATTGGACAATACTAGGTTGGCAACAATTGATGATTCATTACTATTCTCAAACACAATAATCCCTCTTTTTCCTGCTTTTGAAAACTGCAGATTTTTAAGAAAGTCTCTTGCCATTGTTTTGTACTTGCATTTACTTTCCCATTCCTGATTTACATGTTCTTCTCTTATTCTAATCAACCTGTATGTAATGTTAAAATCCATTGGTCTGGGCAAACTCTTAAAATAAAACAATTTTACGATACTTTTCTCAGTGCTTGTAATGAATTGTTTGGCTAAATGCATTGCTGTTTCTCTGGTCTCAGAGTTATCCTCTTCAACAAATAAAATTACTTCTCTTTCCGAGTCTATACAAGCTGCAATGAGAAATCAAATAAAAAATCAGAGAATATAATCTAAAAATCTAGAACGTGTATGATATCGTTACTCACGGCGATTAGGAGTGTGACTAAAGTGAAAGAAAATTTTGCCAACGACAATATGTTGTAAGTTTTTGTATTAATAAATCTACTATCTACCTTTGAAAACTTTCTACATTGTATGCATTATAATATTGCACCAATTCGAGACAACAGAAAACAAAATCTGAATGAAACTCAGATGTAAGTCGGAATAGCGTCACTGGCGTTAAAAAAACAATAAAGACCAACAAGGTAAAAACAAAGTTCTCAGGACTCGGCCCCCCGACACAACCCAGTAGGGCACCAAGAAGGCACCTAACAAAAACCTTGAGTGGACATAAGGGCGTCAAAAGGAGAGGGACACGCAATGTGCGAAATAATATAAACTAAAACGGGCCCATATGTGAATTAAAGGGATAAGGGCTGTAAGGGTGAAAAGAGGAGGTGGTATAAAAATGAGCGGGGAGGGGTAGAAAAAAACCTACCGTAAACGGCAATCCTACAAGGCAGACATCGCAAAACATGTAAACATTAAAAACAAATAACATTACAGACATGAAAAACACGTGAAGGAACACAGACGGGTACCGCCTTGAAACAACCAGTGGTAGTTAAACTGCTGGAGAGTTTAAACTGGTTTAAGCGTGCTAAACCTCACGTTAATCAAATATGTTTTTGGTTAAATAATGAGTTTCAAGAATGTTAAATTTCAACAAGGTTTATCATATAAGAGTGATTATATATTATATATATAATATTGCATTTTCTCTCAACGGTCTTACTTTGGCGAGAGACTCGTCACAGTATACTATTGAATAAATAATAGAAGCTTATTTTATTTTACATCGCTCTGTTTAAGTCGGAGTACCGCTGAATTTATGGAATCACAGAAGACTTGTCTGGAAGCTCAAAACTAAATTTCGATAAATAGCCGATGAAACGTATACAGTAAAATAGCCCTAACTTCTTTTTAAAGTAAACTCTCGCCAAAATTTCGATTATATTTTTTTACGCAACCAAACATGACTCAGTGATTTTTGATTGTGTTATATTATGACATATGTAAAAGTAACAATTGCAAACAGATAATATTATAAAAATTCAATACAATAAGAATTACAACACAAAACATCTGTAGCAATTACATTCAGGATACGATTATGTTTCACCGTTGGTATACTGCTTTTTCTTTTTAGTTCAATAGAATAATTGTTCATATAGGTTTGAAAAGTTTTTTAGTATTTAACAAATCCACATTTTCATGAGTATTTTTATGTTTTTATCATTGTCATTTTTTCTGGTTCCTTATGTCAAGTTTTTTTTATCATATTTCAGCAGGCGATCCACATATTAACCGACTTTCCTGGAAAACCTCACCAGAAGTTATACATTTTGCCTGCAAGAGACTGATAATTAATACCACACGATTCTTGATACAATTAACTATTAAAATAAATGGCATAATCAATGGTTCTGACAAAAATCTTCGCCGGGGGATCGTCCGGACCCCTTATAAAAAATTTTGATGCCCCTTTGCAAATTTAAAAAAAACCCTTTAAAAAAATGACAGTATTCTATGCTGAAACCCAAAAGATATGTTGTTTTGCTTTGTTTCGGGTTATTCAGAAAGAACAGTTAGTATTGATGTAAAGTAAGGAATGATAGTTCTGGAACATAAAAATAAACTTACTCCGGAACAAAGAGTATTATAAGAGCTAATCCGGGGATACAAACAAACCTTTACAGTTATAGCTTCGAAAATAAGCGCAACAGGTCGACTTGAAGATATCTATATTGTTTGGCAATATTATCCATTTGAGCCATTTATGTGTTTTAATGTATGGTACAGCGGTATATACATGTATGTATAATTTACAATTACAAGCATAACTCTTCACTAACAAGCTCGGTGAAACTCTCTGTCAGTTTCAAATTGAGTTTCAGGTCTATATTGCCAAATAATACTGCTAAATGTATGTTTGTACCAGGTGATTAGTTTGGAAAAAACACATTTTCCGTTTAACATCTATTCCTGAACAATCAATAAATAAATGACTGTTTATCAAAATAGACGTACACGACTGAATAGTTGTAAAAGTGGTTTTAAACAAATATCACAAATGAAAAGAAAAGTATAAATCTTAGTCACTTACTACAATCTTTTTCATCCTCTCCTCTAGGACATTCAGAGTGACCATCACACAGAAATCGTTGTTCAATACAATAACTGCCTGGGCACTTAACTGTATTTACAGGACAACTGAAAGTTTCTGAAATCACATGTAGAATTAAAAGATTAAAGCGTAGTAGATAATCAGGACTAAGGTGGCTTTAAATTTGTGTTTTGCCCAGGTTTAGTTGGTATTGTTGGGAGTCATTCACAAAATATTTTGTTTGGCATTGAATTGTCGTATTTTAGTGCAACAAAATAATTTATGTCCAGTGACTTATTAGAAACTGCCAAAAAATAAATTATTTGTTTTTTTTTTATTTATTTTATTTTTCATTTTTCTGGAAAACAGTCGAGGCTGCAGCCCAAACAACCTTTATGAAGCTAAGGCTGTAATAATTTACATTAACACATCGTTATTTAAACAACCGTTGAAACTGAACGAGCATTATGACAATATCTTTCATTGATAATTTATGGTTTTAAATAGAATAAGCTCTCTGCATGTGAAAACATAATGTGAAAATAAAGATCACTATGTATTTTAACAAACGTTAATTACAACAATAAGTCATT